GAAGGAAGGAAGGAAGGAAGGAAGGAAGGAAGGAAGGAAGGAAGGAAGGAAAGAAAGAAAGAAAGAAAGAGAGAGAAAAAGAAAGAAAGAAAAAACAGATTAACTCTGGCCAGGGTGCCTACCTGAGTGTCCCAGAAAGCAGAAGACTCTAACAGGTGTGTTTATTAGTGGAGAGCTAGCCTTCAGGTATAATCCAATTTGTGATATTTTCAGAAACGACACCTCAATCATTTCCTTGGCATTTACTACAGCAGAGAAAGACACATTCTACCGGTTTGTGAAGGACTTGTTCTACTTAGAAATTCAGTACGCATTGTCATAAGCTCTTGCCTCTTAAAAACCAGCCACATTATTTCCTATAACTATCTGTAACAAACTGAAGGATGAGATTTACTCACAAGAACATGGCCATCGAGGAAGCAATACTCAGTTCAGACTACCTCACATGCATGGTTCCCAACATCAAGAATCTACTTATTTCTGGAAGGAGGTTTTCTGTTGCTATCAGGATAGCAAATGTAGGGGAGCCTGGGTGGCTCAGTGGGTTGAAGCCTCCGCCTTTGGCTCAGGTCACGATCCCAGGGTCCTGGGATCAAGCCCCACATCGGGCTCTCTGCTCGGCGGGGAGCCTGCTTCCCCCTCTCTCTCTGCCTGCCTCTCTGCCTTCTTGTGATCTCTGTCAAATAAATAAATAAAATCTTAAAAAAAAAAAAGAATAACACATGTAGCTTCATATTGGCTTTTAAAAAACTAACTATATAGAAAAAAATATTTTCATGGCTTTTGTCTTTGAACTTTTTTTTTTTTTTTAGAGAGGGAGGGAGGGAGAGAGAGAGAATCAAGAGAATCTTAAGCACACCCCCCACTGAGTGCAGAGCCTGATGCAGGACTTGATCTCACAACCTTGAGATCATGACCTGAGCTGAAATCAAAAGTCAAATGTTTAACTGGCTGAGCCACCCAGATACCCCATCTCTGAACTATTTTAAAGTGTACTGAAAAATGAGCGCAGCTCTGCAACCTTGCTTCGTGGAAGGACTTACTGAACATCCCCATTTTATTATTTAGCTACAGTGCTAGGTATTTCGTTTTTAAGAGAAGGACAGAAACCGAACGTAGTGAACTACTCTAGTCAGTCAAAAGAACGTCATGTGCACAACTGCAGCACTGCTCTTGATACAGATCCTGCAGGTAACATAGAAATTGGATATTCTAACCCCACAAAATGGGTTTTACCTCACCATTCCCTCCTCCCTCCTGCACCAAAATCTATCCTTCTGTGCAAAGCGTTATTATTATTATTATTATTATTATTATTTGGCTATATAAGAGACTGCACATTAGAACGAAGCTTAGCCTGTGTTTCTCCAGACACTTCAATCCAGGACGGCAGAGTCCTGATGACCCTATTGTGGGCAGAGCTGGGTCTCAGCTTCGAGGAGTGGTAATCCCAATGGATAGATGGCTCCTTCCATGAACACTTACTAGTTATCACATCTGTAAAATGGGAATAAGGATCAGACTTACCTAAGTGATTTCATAATGCCGAGAACTGTGGATGCAAGCATTATAGCTGTGACCATAAGCTGTTCCAGGATGCAAGCATTGCACAGGGACTGTGGATCCAGACTGCTTGAGACTGAAACCCAGATCCATCCCTTCCAGGCTGTGCAAACTTGAGCCAA